AGGCAGCGTACTGTCGCATTCGACTCGGCATTTCCTTCGTCATCTTGATGAGCTCGTCAAGGGATTGGCGAAGCTTTCTCGGTTGGATGCTATTCCAAAGTACATCCCTAAGCTCATTCAAGCTCTTCCAGATTGTCGACAATGCGGCCCAGACAGACATGAAATCCTGCACTTCTTCAAGCACTGCAGAAAGAGCCGTTTCAGGACTCCCAGGCAGATCGAGGGCCTCCTTCGCTTTGGTAACCATTTCAGATTCAGAGCGGAGGCTTTCCAGTCGTGATTGAAAGGAACTTAACGTTCGAGAAGCCTCCTCTGGAGGTATCGAGCCGGATACGGGTTTCTCTTCATTCCACTGATTGATAATTTCAGCAATCTTGTTACTGATCACACGATCCTCCGCGATGATTTTCGCCTGAAGTGCATCAGTCTGATCCTGCACAATCTTACTCTTGCGTTCAAGAAGCTCGCTGAGGGCATTCCAATCGTCGCGAACCTGCTCAACATGTAACCAGTCGCCGGGGAAGTGGTAACGTTGGCGAGTTAAAGTTGCCTGACCTTGGAGGAAGAGTTCAACCTCCGGACCCCATACTCGTGCCTTTCGCTTGCACCGTTGGACTATGGTAATGAACGAAACGGCATGTGCAGTTGAGGATGCTTCAAGCGTCTGGCTCTCCAGGTCTTTCTTGGCAGCAACAATTTCATCATGAACTTCACGCATACGACTCGCAAGCCTGCCGCCAAATTTATGCAAAATTTCATGTTGCCATTGGTCGTATCGAGCATTGACCTTGGTCTGTACTTGTTCATAGTCAATCCTAACATTGCCAAAAGACTTGCCAACTTCAGAGGTATCAAACGTCGCGCGGCTTTTACGGATTTCTTGAAGTAGTTGCAGCCAATGGGATAAATCGTCGCCAAGCACATCGTACACTTGGGAGGATTGAAGATCCCATAGTGATTGGAACTGTAGCCATTTATCCACATAATCCGAGATCTCTTGTAGTCTTCCGCTAACCACCGAATATACTTCCACTAGTTCGCTGGTACAATATTGAGGAAGGTTTGTGAAGTGGGTTTCGGAGAGTAAAGACTTGTCGGTCTCTATGGACATCTTATAGCGTGATGACTTGATTTTCTCCAAGTTGCAAAGAATTCCAATCCACTGGTTAAAATGGTCAAACCAGCTTGCTCTCGCATACTCAAGAGGAGGATCGAGGCGGAGCACTTGGTTTCTCATGGAAATCTCATGGAAAAGTTTTGGGAACTCAATGGTATAGGTTTGAGTTTCGGAGTCCTCGGTTGTCTTTGAGCTCTGATTATAAACTGATGTCTGTCGCTGGTTACCGTTCTCCTCATATTTGATCTCCTGGAAGGCAATAATCCACTCCCTTATGGCCCGATGTAAACGTTCTTGTAGAATGAGTTCGATTTTCCGATTCATATTCGAGACCCAGAAGCCGAGATTCACATAATTTTCTAGATTCAATTTATCGACGGCGTTCTGAATCTCATCCAGGCGCTGGCGAAAGATAGACGCATCATATGGGCAAGATTTGAGATCCGAAATAGCTTTCTGTATATTCTCATTAATTTGAAACAGCGTCGAAGTTTTCGATTGGAGGACGGAAGCGGAGACTGCAAATTTGCGAACAAATTGAACATGTTTGCTTTCGCTTCGACCTTGGGCCAGTGAAGGATCGACTGCCCCATTAGCTATCACTTGCTTGACGTGGAGCTCATAGGAATGTATAAAAGACTCCCAGCGCAAAGGAAGACCTTTCATAATCAAGGTCTGGACGTCGTTTTTGTAACCACTCAAAAGAATAGAAACGTCAGCCATAGACGAGATCGAGCGCATTGTTTGTAGGACCGTTCGGACGCTTTCGATTAGGCTAATAGCATACGGGTATACTCGTTTAGCTTCCTTTGAGATGGTGTTGATAGCATGCGGAACTTGGTAACTAAGCCAGACAAGGTTTCTAACTTCCTTGAAAAGCACAATAATCTGCGGATCGAAATTCACATCAAGTTCCAACGCGTTTCCAGCAGCACGATTACGGAAGATCTTAAAGAGGCGACCGGAAATAGTAATATTTCGTCTTTGAACGTCCTGTAGCCAGTTCTGAAATATGGGTCGCGTATCGAGCTTCTTTCGGAACATGTTACCTTCAGCCTGGAGCTTTTGTCCTTCAGCGTGCAAGTCCCAATCTTCACCCAGAACGTCCTCAACTTTCCGCATATAACCATCAAGTTGTCGTTCGATTTGGCGAGCCCACACGATAGCACCCGATACGGGAGGTAGATCTCGCAGCTGCGCCATTGGGCTAGCTTGGGAATTGCCATACTGTTGCTTGAATCGCTCATGCAGCTTGGCAATATCGTTCTTCACAAGTTCGATCAATTCGGACTGGTGTTTGCTAATGGCGCTTCGGATCTTAGGTCGAACAAGCAAGGCGTTGAATTTTGAAAAGACACGGAACATTTCAGTAGCGTTTTTCGCCGTAGCAAGACGGTCCTTAAGACGCGCAATTATAGAATTCTCTACTCTAGACGTGCGTTCGTTATACGAAGCTTCGGCCTGGATCCATATCTGAGTGCCTTCTTCTGACACATCCAAAACGTCAACGTCTTTCAAGGATGCATAAGCTTGGGAAACCTCCTCCAAAGCATCGACGTCACCAATTTCCTCACCAACGACAGCTCCATCACCATCAGCACCCGACGACATGCCACCATGACTGGCATTGGGCCTGAGTACGTTCACAATGGTACGCTGGAGTTGTTCGTGATTGTTGCGGAATGTATTTATATACTTCAGTCGATCTTGGATGGCGCTATGCCGTGGTTCAACTTTGATGGAGATAAATTTCTCGTTCCGTCGTCTTATGGCATCACGAGCAACGTTTGTAAATTCCTTAACATTTTCATCCCAAGCTCGCCAGATGACCTGAGCGGACCTCATCAGAGCGCGGAATTCCTTAAATCCCAAGTGCATAATTGATCTCCCATGGATGAGGGTGCGTATTTGAGTATCCAAATCACCGGAAATAGCCTCCACTAGCAACAGCGACCGTTTAATAGGATATGGGCATATACGAAGTTTCTTGTTTAAATGAGAAAATATGAGATTCAAGGCATCATGGACCTTATTCAGGGAGGTGGCAGACAAGAGCTCATCAAGCGGGAAATCTCGCATTAATTGGTTGTATTTCTGAACCGTCTCCGTAGTTTCTTTTAGCCCGGTATCTGCTGAAAAGCTGAGGGTTACATTATATCGTTTCGCGTGCCGGAGGATATCCATAGTCAGTTGGACTCCGTCACTCCGTAACTGGTTCTCGATCGCTTCCAGCGCGGTTTCCATCGACAACCAGAAATTGATTTCCTGGATTGCAGAACCCTTGATGTCATCCCGGGACATTGATGTGGTAGTTTGGATTGATTTAATCCACCCGTTTACAATGTTTTGGATGCTGTTCAAGACCATGCTATTTTCAAGCACAGTTGCTGGGATGAGATCAGCAGAAGGTTTAATCCCTCTAGCCAGAGCCTCGTCCAAGGCTGCCTGAACAACTTCATGCAGTGGAAGATTCAGTACTGGAATTTCGATGTTCTCCTGGAGCTGCAGGAGACTTGATTTGAGTTCCGCAATCTTCTTTTTGGTAACTGGCACTCCCGTCTTTGCATCGTTATCCCCCCTTCCCTTCACACCACTAACCCCTTCCTGGTTACGTGTGTAGGCATCGAAGTATGGAGAAATGACATGATTTACAAATGTGTGAAGAGCCTGGAGAGGAGACACAGTGGCTGTGCCCTGATTCAAGGTCATCTGAGTTAATGATAGGAAGCCCGGAAGATTTGTGGCATGGACCTGAGCGGAGATTGGGAGATTCGGATCTATAGGCTGAAGCTGTCGAGTAAAAGCCATAGATGCAACGGTCGTAGGTGAGAGGGCTAACTCGAGAGTGAGTGAATAAATATACCTGGCCGGAGAAGCTGTTCAAATACAAAGAAATCAGCGTTGTCATCTCAGATTTTTATTTTCACGTATTGAAAAGAAGTTAAAACATACGGGATCCCTCCTCCGCTCCATTTGTCTGCTCTGTTTCCACCGCATCCTTCTGGACATATAACGCAACCTGAGATTCACTGGCAAAGCGAGTGCACCTCTGGACGGTTTCAGGATACTTTGCCTTAGATAAGAAGCTTCCCGCGCTCTCTAAGTCTGTTTTCAGCGCATCGAGAGTGCTCTGTAGAGACTCTGTCAAATACTGGATGACAGTAGCTGGATCGACCGATGGAGGTTGACTCGGAGGAGGAATCAGGCCGTTGGGCACCCCTGGCGAGACGACCTCCATTGTAGACAGAAGACTATGAAGATATGTGGAACGGAATCATGAGGTTCGGAATTCAACGGAAGAAGAGGGAGCTCCAGAGCCTGTAGTACACCGACCGATATGGCGTGGTCGTTGATCAGGGGAGTCAAGTAAGCTGGGGATGTGTATCACCGTTGGAAAAGGAGAACGGCGTGCAAGGAGAAATGCAATGCGGTGGTTTGAGCTCCTGTCTGTAAATGTAAACTTTCTTAAGGTTTGTTGTTTCACGCGGCGTGTCTTACGGTCACGGGACCCGGGCCTTGGCAATGTCAGGGGCAAACACGCTAGTCCAGGAACGGTCTAGTCTACTTCATTTCGCTAGAACCTGCCTAGAGGCTGCAGGAAGCTTTGAACTTCATCCAAGCCTCTCTGGGGTCGGATCGCTGCTTTGATACTAATTATACAAAAAAGAAAAAGTGGTGAGGGAAGGAAAATAATTAGAAAAACGCCTCCGGACACACATCGGGGTATTGTTATTTCATCTCTTCGAGCTCACGTGCTCTTTAAACACAAGCCCTCTGGGTTGAGAACTATCATCGCAATTTTTTTTTGGGTTTTGTTTTTTAAGATATTATCTCGAAACATTCGTCTCAAGAGTCACACTCGCACAACCCCGTTAAGAACAAATTAATTACCCGCATATAGCCATCTCTCTTCTTTTTCTATCCTTTTCTCTCCGCCTTTCCCTTTATTTGTTGCCACGCACTCACAGCGGTATATATCCCGGAACTTGAACGCTGGAAGCCCCTCCAATTTCGCAAGTGCGTTCTCGCTGGCTTTAACCTTTGCATACCCTGCGGAGGATGCAATGCCTTCTGCTACAAACTCGTCGTGAATAATAACCGCTGCAAACACCCGGCACTCTGCGGCATCCACAAAGTCTACCTCACCGGCTTTCAAGCAGAAGTTGGTGCATCCAAAATCAATCGTTAGTCGGTTGTGTAAGTAAGTCTGCAACTGGCATTAGCTACCATCCTTGTGTGCATGTACCGGGCATGAAAGCTGTGCGAGGAAGGGTACATGCCGTTGGGTGCTTGTTAGCAAAAGTATCGTAAATGCTAATATCCTCGAAGTACTTTTTGGGGTACTGCTGGAAGAAATCTTCCACCACCTCGAAACTGAAGTTCGAATCGACAAATATTGCGCCGATATATGCCTCCAACATATCTGGCAGACACTATTTACAGCATCCCGTCAGCCCCCCCCCCCCCCCCCCCCCGGGAATTTTAAAAATAGTGAGCCAAATCACCTACCTTCGGAGGGTCACTGGTCGTTGTCCAAAAGTCTGGTGAATCGATGCTTTCAGTCTCTGTAGCTTCAATTTCCTCCGCATATCTAGTAATTTGACCCAAAAGAGCGTTGCTAAAATAAAGGAGATGTCTATGTAACCCCAACTTAACAGCAACTGCACCCAAAAATTTATTGGAGACCATAGCCATCTACCAATTGTTAGCTTTATCCCATTACATACCATCCTCTCATTTTAAGGTGGTTAGAAAATACCTTATGTTCCGTGAGCCATTGAGGATCCCGGTCGGGGTATTTGTGATACAAATGTTCGACACAAACCATATCGAGCAGCGAATCCCCCAGAAACTCTAGTCGCTGATAACACGGAACTTTACTCCATACCGTTGGGTATGAAGCGTGGGTGAACGCAGACGAGAGAAGCCTTGGGTACTTGAAACGGTAGCCCAGACGATCCCCAATCTGTTGAGCCAGGTCCAGTTGAGTATCATCCGCCTCTGTGATCTGATAACGAGGCAATGAATACAATCCGACATAGCTCTGCCAGTCCGAGACCTGATGATTCTCGCTGTTCACGAAAGCAGTGACTGCTTTGACCGCGGTGTCAAACCGATGGACTCTTCCCCCAGACAACAAGGAGGCACCGATCAAAGCCTCACAGATATCCGCAATTGATTTATCGGCTAAAGAATGTTTTTTTTCTGCTGTTTCAGACTTGGCCTTACCTTGAAGAAGCTTAATACCCTCAGGATACCAATTCCGTCTGTGGAGAGAACCCGTTGTCAGTGAAGGCACAGAAACAAAACATAGGAACTCTCAAAACGAACCTTGAGAAACCCTGGGTGCGGACAAACTCATAGATTCCAAGACTCATCGCAGTGTTAAATAAGTTTTGATTGCAGATCAAACACATCCTTTTGACATGAAAGTCGAACTCGTCGTTGTCAGCGTTCATCGCAAACAGCGATATCGACGTCGACATCTTCAGAAAACAGTCCCCCAAAAACTCCAGGCGCTCATAGTTCTTGCCCATTCCACGCTGGAAATGAATCTGTTCCGCTCGATGTTCTTCTGTATTGTCCGAGTCTTTTGTCAGAGCTTCGAGAGCGAGTTCCGGAATGATGGTCAACTGTAGTTTGTTGCATGCCTCGAGAGCAATCAGATAGGACTCAATGCGACTAATCATCGCTGGGAAAGTAAACGCAAATACAGCCACCGGCGCGGGTAACTACGGAAAGTTAGTGCCTCTGCAATTATTGCAGTCGGGAAAGCTCTCTTACAGCAGAAATCCTCAGGGGCTCCGGACAAATATAATAAGCCGTCTCTACCCCCTTCTCCTGCTCCGTCGTCCTATCCAAGAGGTTTCGGCGAAGTCGAACTAACTCTGCACGAACAACCGGCTGGTTCCAATCACATGTCCCAAGAAAGTTTAGACGAGATTTCTTATACAAACTTTACAATAATTCATTATGTTGTCCATATACCTTCTTTTTGCCATAGTTGGTGGCGGTGGATCTGAGGGACGAAGGTTTAGTTCCAATTCAGACGTGAAATAGCGATATCTGCCATCCCACTTGTCGAACATACATATGTTTTCCAAAGAACTGCGTGGCATGTCGGAGGTCCAGCAGATTTCCGGGTTCTCCTGAACATACTGGATAATTTTCCAGTCAATAAGTTGTCGCAGGTTTGAATCCTCCAATACGTTCCCATATTCCAAGCTTATCGGTGCAAGCCAGTATGGCATCATGGCCGGCTGGTGATCGTATACCTTGTGGAACAAATCCTGGAAAATCCTAAGCGTAAACGTGGTGAACAGGTCCAACTCAGACTGCGAAACCTGCATCGACGCTCGTAGAGGGATTGAAACAACATCGCACTCTATGTCAGTCTCAATATACAGCGGAAATACAGGAAATTTGGGCAGTGATTCCCGTGTTAACAACACGAGAGGTTGATGCACGCGCCGTAACTTCGCAGAGGGCCGCAAGGTCAAAACAGTCGCATAAACCTCACAAGGGGTCATGCCACGAGACTTCTCCCACAATTTTGGCTTCACCATCATGCCATATTGATTCGTTTTCTTCGATTTGATAGCCAATTTCGCGTTCCTCATAAGCGGCAGTCTTTTGTGATACTTAGACAGGAAGTAGTCATCGAGAAGCCCGTTCTTCCTGAGTATCAAGCATGTTTCAAATGCGGCGGATTGTTTGGCAGACAGCTTCGCTACTGCTGGTCTTCCCGTCAAGCCTCGGACAGGAGATTTCTCGGGGAGCACGACCTCGCAGACGAAAGCACCCCGTATTCTATGAATGAAGTAATTTACTCGGGTTGACATCTCATTCTCGTATTGCTGAATGCCGTTAGCCACCATATGCTTCATGATTATATTTTCTTCTTACCAAAGAACTTGCATAATGTGCAAGGACCGCAAGCGCAGAGTTGTAAGTTAGCTTTGAGCCAGTGCTGGAAACGGTGAAAGTTTTACGGCGTCTTTCCTTATCCAAAAACTTGTCCAATTCGTCGCTTGTACCACGGATAATTCTGTCTTCAGGGAGAGATTCGCAAAATTGCCGCATGATGTTCTTTGGGGTTGTTAGCTCGGAACAGCCGAATTTCTCATTCTATACTCACTTCTGCCTCCTGAACTTCATCAAGGCACCGTTGATGAATGAGATTATCTCGTTCCATCATGTGCGCATACTGCATGCCATAGTTAGAGAGGCTCAAAAATTATTGGGGAGCAATCATACTACGGAGTTAGGATGCCGAGCGCGCCCCCGACTCTGCACGTATTCGATCATTGTTTTATAAAGATCGAACCTAAATCACTGTCTGTCAGCTCCACACTTGCTGATGAGAGAATAGGATATGAGTGTTATCACCTAACAACTAAATTGCAATCTGGAATATCCAATCCTTCCTCCGCAACAGAGGTTGCAAACTTCACAAATTAGCAGGACAACTAGAGAATTCAAGAATACGAAGAAAACAAACACACCAAGCAGTTAAGCTCTCCTTTACGAAATTTCAGCAATGTCAAAAACTGCTGTCGGAAGGAGACCTTTTCGCCGCCAGCTTCGTCAGGGCGAACACCAATAAGCACACCCGTCCGCATGTGCCGCGTCCCTATTCGTGAAAACAATTCTCCTAATAGCCTCGCAGAGTGCCGCTTCTCCACGAAGACAATGCATTTTGTGTCTGTGTGCCTTTCAAAGTACTTTGAAAGCTGATGGTGCAACAGTCGCACCTTTGGGCTGAGATGTTCGGGACAGTTAACCGGAGTATAAAAGGTGTGATCTTTTATCACCTTCACAGCTTCGCGAAGACTCTTAATCATTTCGTCAACTCCCTTAGTGTGATTTCCAGAACTGGTACGCATATAACGCCTAGATATGCTCCCTTCCAATTTAGGCAATGAGGGCTCGTCCAATACGATAGTCCACAACCAATCAGAGCACCATCTCCCCAACGTCGAGGTGGCCTCCAAGGAACAGATGAACATCTTCTTGAGTACACTAATATTCCCAAATTGTGAATGCATGCTTTTGTATAAGTCGGTTTCAAAAGCGGGATCCAGCCTATCGTAGACCCATTGTTGTTCGGTTGGCCGAGCTACCGATTGCCGCAAAGCATCCCAATTAGAGGTAGTTGCAATCTGGCTATCGAGAAGCATCTCCAGGGATCTATTACGACCATTAGTAGAGAGAGAGATGAGGATGGTAATGTCGGGATGGTATACTTTACAGCTGTTACCACATCAACTTTCGCATCAACTGGGGATGCTGTCATGCCAAATATCTTAGGCCTATGTTGTGACTCGGTCATTTGTAAATAAAAGTCTTTTACAATCCTATAGATTCCATCATCACGGACACAGAATGGGCAGAAAACATGGAATCTTCTAACCTCGCATATGGATGGTCCTTTTTCGTATGATGAGCCTCATCAAAAATAAGAAGATTAATCTGTTCCATCTGGATAAAAGAATGCAGCAAACACTGATATAGTACTTCCGCTGTGCAAACGATGATCATGTTTTTTTGAAAAGTGCCTTTTCCAGGTTTCCTTGCTCCATAAGTCAGTTTGCAATGCTCCACAGAATTTATCGATACTTTGATCAATATTTGCTTTCAGGACGGCGGCTTGCTGGTACACAAGCGCCACGCTATCGACCTATTTATCAGATATTTAGATATTTACTCTTTGTTTGGGAAGGTAGCAAGACACACCAAGAAGAATGATATACGGGGTGGTTTTCCCCTAGCTCGATCAGCCAATTCGATTCGAATCATATGTTTGAGCAAGAGTACGGCGATCAATGTTTTGCCCGATCCTATCCATATTAATATCTATACAGAAAAGCAGAGATAGAGGGCCGCATACCAGTATCCAACACAGCGATGATATTCGTTGTCTTCGCCTTCTCAAACAGCTCCAACTGGTACTCCCTTGGGTCGTGGATGACAGATGAGAAGTCCTGCTTTGCTATCAGTTTCGATATAGAAAGCTCACTGTCGTTCTTCACTTTCATTGCCTTCTGAATATCCTCAGCCGTAATTGTTTCAGCTCGTTTGGATAGCCTTGTGAGTCAACTCCATCAGAAAACGCAAAGTCGGCTCAAGGGTTAATAGGGGATACCAACAGAGATTTGAAGATTTCGTTTTGTCTCTGTCTTCGATCTGCTGGCTCTAGTGAAATCTGATCAGAGCTGTCTGACTCGCTATCCGATCCATCAGGGCCGTCGAACACTACAGGGGACTCATCATCTAGGATCATGAGATCCACGTTTTCTTCTTTATCCCCCATCGCTTTCTTTGGGGAGACAGGACTTTGGATCACACTGTGGTCAATGATTCCGTGAGAGGTCGGCTGTCTTGGAAGGCATCAGATCTGGTAAAGGAATCAAGATATTGAACTGTGGATATAGACCCAAGGCAGTGAATGAGAGTGTAATAGTTCAGAGAAATAAGCCTCTTGAATGGATAGAAATGGGTATGAGATAATCCTAAGCTCTCAGAAAGCCCGGATCTATGTAAACAAAGGAAAACAAATCCTCCATATCCGATGCAGATGTTGATGATCCGTTGGCTCCACATGAGTCTTGAGGACAATATGAAAGAACAAGTGCAGAGAACAAAGAAACTCATGTTTGGATTTCCTAATTGCAGGTATATACATCACATCCACCAAAACATCTCATTTCTAGTAACATTAGAAGCACAATTGGAAATATACTCCTTTTCTTTGTTGGTTTCGGGCAACAATTTATAAAGTTGAGGTTGAACTCTGAGCAGTATGTGCAAGAAGCTTTTATTCACATGACTTTAGTTAACCTCACCTCTGCCAAGTTCACATCCAAAAGGGAATATATTCCTAGCCAAGTAAGTATCTCCCATTAAAGACCTTTTAAAACCTCAGCTATCTTCTGTATATACCTGTCGTTATAGGGTCAACTATGGACATACAAACCCTCAGCTCTCTCTTCTCTCGCGCGAAAGCCCACAAAAAAGCTCTGGACACAGCATCTTCAGAATCTATAATCCAGCTCAGTGACGTTATCGCGGAGTTCGAAGAATGTCAACGCCGCATTGCGCATCTATCCCTATTCAGTGGCAATGAGTCGCTCGAGGACATCACCACTGGAGACCTACAGTTCGTAACTATATAATTTACTATTCTTCTACTTTCGGAAAAAAGAACAAGCCATACTAAACGAAATGCTGTTACCCCGAATGCTACAGGTACCTCACAGTTGATTACATCCTAGCCGATCTCCTTCAAAAATCGTACAGTGCAGATCGTATCAAGAGCTTGCAGCGCTCGCGGGACGAATACGAAAAATATCTGGAGTGTTTAGATCAGTATGACCTACTCTCCCCGGACGATAAGAGGCTTCATGAAAATTACACGGATGATCCGGCCTCCTTTACCCTGGCTCCTTTGAACGATGCAGCAAAGCGAAGGGATATTAAGGTATCAAGATTTAGAGAGGAGAAGGAGTTGAAACAACGGCTAGAGGTATATATGCACCTACCCCATAGTCCACAATCCACACTCCACTAAAAGCGGATGCTAACCAATATCATGAAATTGGCAGCATCTTTCGCAAAACCAAAACAGTATACAACCCGACGATGATTTAGTTCGACAATTGTATCTAGCTGAGATTAAGCTCTATACACATCAGACATTCCAGGCCCTAGACATGCTATCCCAAGAACTATCTATGCTCACAGGAGCCCAAAGTGCAGGCCCCTCTGCCCATCCCGTTTACGATCATGATGCAAGGAAACGTGACCGAAGCGATAAGTCTGGCTTTTCCGAGCGTTTGGATATAGGGCTCGGACAAAATACTCGTGGAGGCGGAACAGGGCCACTCCTAAGCAAGAGCGGGGTACCACTACAACCGTTTGTCCTCACAAGCAAGCGAACGGAACTTCAAAAGGGGGTCTTCCGACCCGGTCATAGCCTCCCGACTATGTCTATTGATGAATATCTAGAGGAGGAGAGGAGGCGAGGGGGTATTATTGAAGGGGGAGGCGAGCAGTCTGGCCAGCCGAAAGAAATTGACGAAGATGACTTGGAAAAAGCTGACGAAGAAACCATGAAAGCAAGAGCGTGGGATGAGTTCACGGAAGATAATCCACGAGGATCAGGTAACACTCTAAACAGGGGCTAATAAATCCATTCGATCGGAAGAAAATTTTTGGAGGGTATCATTGAATATCTACCGCCCCTAGTGTCATCTTGGCATTCACTTCCCGCCCTATCTCTCTCCGGCACTCCAAAAGAGGAGGGATGGTGGGGTCACTCCTGGATGTAATCCTATGTTAGCACATGGTACCGTTTCTTTTACATATGAAATCGAGATGGGACACATACACGGAGAGGGAAATTCTGTTTTTCCAACTCTGGCCACTTGCTCAGCAGTAACCCAAACAATTCGCGGGTCAAAATCTCATATCCCTGCAAATTAAACACTGAAGTCAGTTTCGTGAAAAGACCACTCAATACAGAAAACACAAACAGACATACCTTACTACCAAAATGCAACCCATCAATAAAGTACTCCCTCCCAAACTCCGCCGCCCCAGGCATTCCCGAGCCGGGCAGCCTCTCCTTCAAATCCAGCTTATCAAACCCGCCCCCCTCAGGCACCTTCTCCTCGCACGCAAATTTAGTCACGGCAGTCCAAAAGTCCAACACAGCGACACGATCCGTCTTCCTTTCAAACTCCTTTCCAATCTCAACAATTTTCTCCGCAAAGGCCCGCTTTGACGCCCAGGTCCTATGTCCCCTTCCCATCCTCGCAACCGACTTCAAGACACCTTCGACTTCAGGCAGGGGGTTAACAAGCCCCATTCTGTCCGAGGGGATGTCGACTGGCGGAGGTGTGATTAAGATTACTTTGGTCTCCTGCGTGCCAGGGTGATCTACGATACTGTTCACGTAGTATCGGATGTGTTCCTCGAATTCCGGGAGGGGTACGTAGGGGTCTGTGTATAAGAGGCAGGCGTCATTTGCACCAAGGAAAATAGATATGAATAAGGGTGCAGGGGGACCGCGCTTTTCGATCACTTGAATGATGCATTTTTCAAAGGTTTTGCGGAGACTTTTTGTTGTTTGTCTGGATTTTGGAAGAGGGTTTTGGGTTTAGATACAGCAATGGCTTTTAGGGGTGGTTATTGCACATATGGGTATGGAGATATAGAATTGATTCCTCAACCTCTAGAGAGGAGGAGTAGCATTTGAATCCTTAACCGTCCAGGAAAGAATAAGGAAATCTGCTAGGACTCAGCTTACCCGGAATACCCTGCGAATATTTAGACAAATCAGCACTGGATCAATCAAACCACTTTCTCTCGAATCCAAAATCACTGCCAGCCAGCCGCATCGAAAACAATATTCTATCTTTTTGACCCACGCAACTTCCCCATCTATCCTGAATCAAAAAATATAGTAATTACAAAAAACGAAATACCAAGCACAAACTCACCTGCATTAACAACCTCTACCCTCCTGTCGTAATATTCACCCAGCTTCCATGCAAACCCATTATCAGACTCGTAACAAGCGCGCTCCGTCAGCGAGTCTCCAAACAGATAGATGCGTGGATAGTCATTTGGTTTCGTTTCTTTAATCATAGTTAACGCCTTGAAATCATTTTCTTGCTTTGGGTATTCGGGGCAGAAGGTTGGGGATATTCTATGGGAGCGGGATGTTGACTGAGTTGTTCGTTGCAAGGCTGCTGCAGCGGCTGCTCGTCCCTCATCGAGTCACATGATGAAAGTGGGAAATCTGTAAAATTATCAGAAATTAAACTAAGATTTCTTTATGGAGCGGAAAAGAGAGCCTTGTAGACAATGATTGTTTATTCATTGTTTTGGACCCGAGTTCTATATCATGACTATTGCCTATTTAGATATCATTTGTATCCACTGTAGTTCCGGCAAATCTAATAAATATATGAAAGCATCCATCACATCCTATAGTTACCTGAGCCATTTCGGGGTATCCACTCATATCGCAGTCGAAAATAAAACGAGAAAGAAACGCAGACATAAATCCAACCAACTAATTCCCCCAAATCTTCTTCTTCTGCTGAATAACCTCCAATATCTTCCCCGCACCCTTAACAATCAACTCCTCCGCAACCGTCTTCCCAAACCCCTCCGCCTCCACCTCCGACCTAATTTCCGCCTCCATCTCAGCCTCCACAGCCTCCTTCCCATCCACACTGGCCACAATAGCCCTAAGCCTCAACTTATCTACCTCCCCCTCCCCCTCCCCCTTCACCCACTCCGTCTCAACGCCAAGCGGCGCACTACAGCCGCCCTCCAATGCCCTCAACAAACTCCTCTCCGCCAAACACGCAAACGTCGCCCTCCTATCCCCAATCTTCTCAATCATCGCCCTCATCCGCTCATCGTCCGCGCGTATCTCAACCCCCAACGCCCCCTGCCCAACAGCATGCAGCATCTTGCCGTTCTTCGAATCAAGGAAATGGGAGATGCGCGCACCTTGACCACTACGCAGAAGGCCAGCCGCGGCTAGAATGATACAGGTAAATGGTCCGTCTTCCGCATCCAACTTTGCTAATCGTGTCTCAATGTTTCCTCGTATATCCTGGGGTTTGAGATGGGGGTAGTGTCGTGATAGCTGAGCGATGCGCCGGACGGAGGAGGTCCCTACTACGGATCCTGCGGGGAGTTCTGCCAGTGTCATTTTTGGTAGACCCTTTTTGATGACTAGGACGTCTCGAGGGTCTTCGCGGGGCACGACAGCGCCAAGAGCGCAGGTTTCGGGGAGCTGGGTTGGGACATCTATTTAGAGAATGTGATATATTTGTTAGTTTGTTATCGATGAGCATGTAGAGAAAGAAAGGAACAGCCGGACGAAACAAATATTGGAATGATCAGATGAGACAAATAAAAATCAAGCAAAAGACACATGTACCTTTTAAGGAATGAACGACAAAATCAATCTTCTTCGCGACCAGTAGTTCCTCAAGCTCTTCGGTCCAAAGATTCTTGGTGGTGAATTCGCGAAGCGGGGTGACTTTATTCAAGTCCCCCGCAGTATCCTGGGAGTGAACCCTGAATTCATACTCCGGCCAGGCAGTTTTAAGCGAAGACCGTATTAGATCTGTTTGTAGCAGGGCAAGTTTTGACTTGCGTGTGCCAATTGTTAGAGTGGTTGTCGGCGTCGTTCCGGGTGCCGGGTGTGTTTGTGGAGGAGGGGCAGATGCCATGATTATAGATGCGGAGGGAGGGGATTCGCAGCAAACACTATTCCTTGTATAAATAGATTAGTTAACGGGATTGCAGAACTAATCCAGGTCTATCGAGGCATCGGAGGCAATTGATTTGATCGTAATAATTACGCACGCGGGGAGCAGTTGAGCAGATGAAACGCAGGTAATTGTGTATTGTTCAGTTTTTACAGTGCAGTTGGAGGAAAATTTAAGTTCCGCCACCAGAAACTGCGCCTGGTTTTGTTGTCGAAAGGGGTTACAGTTAACTAGGTATATCACTATTGTACGCTGTAGTTACAGCCATAACTACAACAATTTTTAATGTGATAGAGGTAGAAAGAAGCCGGTAAAATAATAAAAATATTAATACCGCAATAAAAAATTTATCTCCCAATTACATCACCAGTTGCAGATATTCCTCTCTGTTCCGGTGTGTTCTGGCGCTGCCAGAGAGAGGTAACCTCGGCATCGGGCTTGGGCTTAGAGATAGCTTCATATTTCAACCCGCCTATCGCCCATCCTCACCTCATTCCCTTTCCCTCCTTCTCGCCACACTTCACCGAAGACTCTCAAAGCATCGCTATCCACCATTCCGTTCTCTTTACATGAGGCGCTCTGTGCTGAATTCCTCAGTTTGCTTCTGAACTTCTAATACCACCTTTTAATCAAGTCTCATTCGGTCTCACAAGGCGTGCGCTAGTCAGTTACTTAATATATCTCCGCAATTCATTGTTACTTGGCGACGAGCTCTCTCACTCTCTTGGGCGATCACAACATAACACCAGCCCTTGAGTTAGCGGTTACTTAGTAATTACTATCAGACCCATTTAGAACCTCAACCATTATGGGTACCAATTCTTCGCGAACAACAAACCTCGCGTTGCTGGCCCTGGCCAAGGATTCGGTTCTCCTGCCAGGAGTCACCATCCGCATCCCCCTCTCCGACCGTGCTGATATCCCTCTTCTCCTGACCTCTCTCTTCAGCAAAACCTCCTCAAAAGCCGGGAATGCAACCCTTGTTGGTTGTGTCCCCCTCAGCTCGCCGTTTCTGAGCAGGGATGGCAAGCAACTGCTGGAGAATGGGGACGCAGCAAGTGCACGATCGGAAGCTTCCAGGACAGTCGAGCCAGCCAAAGCTTCCAAGAACGATATCTTCGGCTATGGCACTGTGGCTAAGGTAGTTGGTGTTCAAGGGAGACCAAGTAGCGAACCATATCTGCTCGTGGAGGGATTGAGGAGGTTTTCGATTCGCAAGGTTACCAGGGAAAGTCCATATCTTGAGGCTGATGTCACTCTACATGACGAGATCGGTACGCCCTACTTTGATATAAAGGAAATCGTTTGTAGATACCAAGCTAACTCATATCGACCCACAGCCCCTATTGCCACTGACCTAGAAATTGTGAATCTGTTTGATCAGGTCAAACGGTTGTCAAGAGAACTTTTGGCCTTCCTTAGACTTACCTCCTTCTTTTCCCAGCAGACGGCGGGTATATCGCCCCTGCTTGCTAGACGATTCGAGCTTTTCATTGCCAAAAAGAATATCTCCCAAGCAGGTGTGCTCGCTGATTTTATGGCTGATGTGGTGGAAACTAGCTTCGAAGAAAAGCTGCAGCTTCTTGCCTCAGTAGACCTGAAGGCCAGACTGGAAAAAGTTGTCGAACTTTTGTCCAGACAGGTTCAAGGCATGAGGAATAACATCAAGGTGACTTCCATCACCACGTCGAGCAACCCCTCAAACCTTGGCGTTGATATCAATCAATTGGATCCCCGCCAAAGAGAACTTCTTGCCAGACGCTCTATGGCGGGAATGAATGGGTTTCCATCCGGCATCAATGGAGGCATTGGTGATGGTGGAGAAGAGAAAGAGCCAAACGAAATTGATGAACTACAACAGAAGCTTCAGGATGCTCAGCTGAGCCCAGAAGCCCAGAAGGTAGCAGACAGAGAACTCAAGCGGCTCCGTAAGATGAACCCTTCCAACGCTGAATATGGAGTTTGTCGAACGTACTTGGAAAATCTAGCCGAGATTCCTTGGACTAGAGTCACTGAAGACCAGCTGGGGGTGGAAACGCTCCAGAGAGCTAGAAAGCAGCTTGATGACGATCATTACGGCCTAGAGAGAATTAAAAAGCGACTTCTGGAGTATTTGGCTGTCCTCAAGCTGAAACAGACCCTCAATAAGGACGTTGAGAACCAAATTTCGAAACTTACCACGGATTTAGCTGCTATTGAAAACAGGGGTGATGAAGCTGAATCTAATTCTGACGCTAAGAGAGACGCCATGGAAACCAAACTGCAGCTTCTCAAGGCAAAGCGTATGGGAGATAAATCTCCAATTATGCTTCTTGTCGGTCCTCCTGGAACTGGAAAGACCAGTCTTGCCAAATCCGTGGCCACAGCACTTGGTCGCAAATTCCATCGTATTTCTCTTGGAGGCGTAAGAGACGAAGCTGAGATTCGCGGCCATCGCAGGACATATGTCGCTGCTATGCCTGGCCTTATTGTGAATGGCCTAAAGAAAGTGGGCGTTGCCAACCCAGTCTTCCTGCTTGATGAGATTGACAAAGTGGGCGGCTCCAATTTCCATGGCGATCCATCAGCTGCAATGTTGGAAGTGCTTGACCCTGAGCAAAACCACAGCTTCTCAGACCACTACATCAACATCCCCATCGACCTGAGTAAAATATTGTTTATCGCCACTGCAAACTCTTTGGATACCATCCCCCCTCCCTTGTTGGATCGTATGGAGACAATCCAACTTTCAGGCTATACAACAGTCGAGAAGAACCATATCGCATCCCGCCATCTCATCCCCAAACAGATCCGTACCAACGGTCTCTCAGACGGCCAAGTCATCCTCTCTGATGATGTTCTCGAGAAAATCATAGCAGCCTACACCCGCGAATCAGGCGTACGCAATCTCGAACGCGAAATTGGCTCCGTCTGCCGCTACAAGGCCGTCCAGTACGCCGAAGCCCGAGACGCAGGCAAGGAAGAAACCTACAACCCCAACGTCTCCATCGAAGATCTCGACGAGATCCTCGGCATTGAGCGCTTCGACGAGGAAATCGCCGAAAAGCACGCGCGTCCGGGCATCGTAACGGGTCTCGTCGCCTACTCCACGGGCGGACAGGGTAGCATCCTCTTCATCGAAGTCGCCGATATGCCAGGGAACGGCCGCGTACAGCTAACGGGGAAACTGGGCGATGTGCTGAAAGAATCTGTCGAAGTGGCTCTTACATGGGTGAAAGCGCATTCATATGACTTGGCCCTCACCCACGACCCGAATGAGGATATCATGAAACATCGCAGCTTGCATGTGCACTGCCCGTCCGGCGCGATTCCGAAAGATGGACCCTCTGCTGGACTTGCACATACAATTGCTTTGATATCGTTGTTTTCTGGCAAGACGGTGCCCCCAGACGTCGCTATGACGGGTGAGATATCGCTGCGGGGCCGCGTGATGCCTGTTGGAGGCATCAAGGAGAAACTTATCGGCGCGCACTGTGCGGGCGTGAAGACAGTTCTGCTCCCGGAACAAAATCGTAAGGATGTAAGGGATGTACCCGCGGAGGTTAAGAATAGTTTGGAGATTGTGCACGTAAAGTAAGAGTTCTCCTTCTTTTTTTCCGTTTTATTCGTCCTCCGTTTTAATTTACACGTTACACTTTTTACTAACTCCCCACAGTCACATCTGGGAAGCAATTCGACACATCTGGCCGCAGGGTCACTGGCCAGGCGAACACACTCCCGTTTTTCAGAGTAGACTATAATATAGGGTCAAGGCGATTTCCCCCGCGTGTCCCGTTGAGGGGTTGCAAATTAGCGAGCGGTGTTTTTGGTTTACTTCATTTTCATGTAGTCCTTTTGCCTAGTTGTTGGTCCATTTTAATTCCCACCTGTTCTGCATCCATACATAGCTAACTGGGTTTAGTGGTTTGTTTTATCGTCACTCTTCCAGTTAACACTCTATTCTACACTCCTCATGGCGTTGTTTTTCGCTCTATGCCTGTGCTGGAGCCCGTTTCAGACAGCTTTGTCTACTAATCTCCCTGATCGTTGATTTGAAATTTCTATTTATTGTGGCGTCCCTTGCAGAGTTACGTTCTTCTAGTATCTGTTATATCCTGTCGAAGGAAGTATCACTTCTGCCTGCCCATCAAGTTTTTGAATCGTTTGGCATTTTGCGCTGTACATAGGCCACTAATGAAGTTAAAGTAGTCGACTTTACTATTGAGCACAGATTCCGGAAAGTCTCCATATTCATGTTTTCAGCGTCAACAGGAAGTCCCACCTGGCGCTTCCTAACAGTCTTACAGAAGAACCCAGGACAAGCTATACAACCTGCGTCGCTTAAACATCTCAGAGCAAAACATCTCTATTTGTATAATACATTTCAAGAAAGCAACTAAGGTATTTGCAGTCTCTGCCTTCCCTATTTTCCTTTCTATACATGAAAATATCTATACATGAACAAGATACCCTAGTTCCAGTTGGTCCCACCCATGCAGGGGGTAGAGGATATACAACGAGAAAAAATAGAGAAACACATCGAAAATGATCCCAATAAACCAATGCAGATGTTGCAAAATGAAGAGCACATTCCATATCCATACGAAATCCCGAGCCGAACGTCAAATCATTTTCCCGCTTCATTTGGTGTCCTCCGCAAGACTCGTATGATTAACCCCCTTTAATATTTCAGCAGGCGTCGCTTTCGCACCTTTCAACTCACCACCAATCACAGGTCTCTCGTAATTTAAACCCAGAGCCTTCCAAGTCGGTTCCCACTTCTCCTTCCCGTCCAGCAACCGCTTCGCCTGCTCTGAGACGGTTTTCCACTTTCTTTCCGGGGCCTTGTTCTTGGCGTCGGGCTCCATCTTTTCTGACATATCCCGCTGGTATTCCTTGGTTTCAAAGAACCTTTCCTTTTCCCATCTGTATAGGAATAATAAAGCAGGTGATTAGAGACATAGAAAAGATAATAAACAAATAACGTGGTAGCTGGCGAACGGAAAATTGGGTAAAATAACAAAATGAACTTAAGCTTACGGTTTATAATCCTTCGGCTCCTCAGGCCATATGAACGGCTCAGTCATCTCAACGGTCATCTTCTTCTTAGCCATCGGTCTCCTCCATTTGCCATATCCTTCCTTCCCGCACGGCCTTTCGCGTGTGATTTTCTGCTGCTCAACATAACTCCGTACTTTTATCACGTCCACGCCGTACGCGCGTTTTAGATAGTCTTTAATATCGAGTTTGTTGAAGGTCAGCGGGACCCAAAAGGAGGCATAGCGTGGTGGGAGAAAGGGAGTGCGGATGAGAGTGATGACGAAGTCGGGTCTGGTTTTGAGATGAAATCGCGTAGGTTAGCTAGAGATTGCATTCCTTTGGAGGTGCAATTGAGATTGGCCCCCAATGGATGGAGTAGTAGAAGGGCTGGTATGCATATGACACTAGTAATGAAAGGGAACAAAGAAGACTTGATAGCTGGGGATGTATTCGTACAAGTATATTTGTTTCCGCTGGTCGAGGGGAATGGGGAATATGTAGGGCCGGGCCTCACGGAGCTTCAGTGTGGTTTCTGCTACCTTTTTGCGCATTGTGGGTATCTGATGGATAGGTGGAAACAAGGGAGAGAAAGGGTAAACCAAAATGCCAAAGAGATTCAATAGGCCATTTTCTTGAAGTCTGCAGAAGTTGAGGATCGGACGGAAAATGTAGAAACGAACAAAAATGCGTGGGTGGTGCTTGTGCGCCGCCGTAATTTTTGCTGCCGGCGATAGTATGGGCATCTAACACCAGACAGTTGGACGGCAAATATGGGATAAATATCAAATTTATACAAGAAGGACATTGGAATATATATGTATGATGTGATCATTTTTCATTAAATTCTATACGCTAAATCATGAACTCATTCGTTATGATGCTCATTGCCAAACCCAACACCATATAAATAACCCTATACTAAACCAGACGCCGTATTTAGAATAGTAGAAAGACTCGAAATCTACCAATGCACCCTGTCATTGAGAACCTGATATCCGTAGCTGCTCAATCCCTATTATCCATCTTTAGATTTAGATCAGACGCCTTTTGCGTATCCCCCCGGGGTCCTTTCAATTTCTTCCGTATGACATTTCCCAGAGCATCGACCTCACCATCTAGAGACACCTCTTCATCCACATTTCCTTCCTCGGCTTTAGATTCCTCTTCATCTTCCTCTTCACCCTCAGCTTCGCCTCCATTCCCTTCCTCATCAGACCGCAAGTCATCACGCTCCCCTCCAGCATCTCCGTCCCCATCAACCCCTACCTCCTTCATATATGCCTCCAACTCCCGTGCCATCTTCCTCGAAAAACCCGATGCCTCAACCTCGACATCCAATCTTGCTCCACCTTTCTTTGTTCCCACCAATTTCTTCACATCCTTGAAAAACGGTCCCTTCTCATCACTCACAAACCCAAATCTCCTCTGAAAATACCGTTTGATGCAATTCACATCTCGATCAAAGTACATTTCTGCATTGGGATGATCCACAGAGACCATTTGCGGGAAATCAATCAGAATAGGAATCAAATTGACTTCAACTTCCTCTGTTCCATCATCATCACCTTCCTTCATTTTCCCCTTCGCAACGTCGGAATTTTTCTCCACAGCCTCCTCTTTAATCAAAATATTAAACTCGTTAAAATCTCCATGTATAAGCCCCACCCCCGCCAATCGCACAATCATCTCAATAAGCTCTGCATAAAGCCCCGCTGGATCCGGAATGGAAGAAATCTGCCTAAGCGGGAACGCATCAATCAAACTCATAACAATCGTATGTCTATTCTGCACAATGGGCTCCGGCACAGGAAATCCATGGTCCCGTAGCGCTTTCATGAACGCAAATTCCTTCATCGCTGCTAGGCGTGACATGTACATCCAGGACGCGGAACTGCGGTGGCGCAGGTAGTCGCGGTTGGTCTTGATGGTGCGGAAGGAAATGCGGCCCAAACGGTGAATTTTCAGAATGCGTTGTGCGCCGTCTGAGCTGGCGACGACGATGATGTCTGATTCTTTACCGACGCCGATTTGGTTACCGACAGAGTATATGGATTTTTGTTTTTGGTGCGTGTGGAGGGCGAGGTAGTCGAGGCCGCCATAGGTGAGGCGATAACCGTCGTCTGGAGTTGAAACGTTCATATTAGTTTATGCAAATTGAGACTCGAAAGGACATAGAAGACTGTAAATCATCTCTTAGGAACATCGTACGTACATTTTGCATTTTTAACTCGCGCTATCAGATTGATCTTTGCCAAATTCGATATACACTTGTGCACAATACTACCACCGCGCAGCCCGGATAACTGGATGATTAACGGCGTCGGTACAACTTCATGATTCCTACTGCCCATCTCAACCTGCCAGAAGGAAAGTGAGTAAGTCAGTGTCCTTGATATCAAGCTGTCTAGGGTATAGGAGGGAAAAGATGTATGTAGCTGCTCTCCTGAACCGCGGGCGGGGCAAGAGAGGAAAAGGACGCAGGGAAAGCCAGAACGTGAACATACAGCTGCAAGGGTACGGAAGTCCTCTACGGTAAGATACCGCATCGCCTTTGGATCGAGCTTCATTTTGGCGAATATTCCAACTGCTGGAGAAGCGGAGAGAAACGGGATAGGGCGGATATTTTATTAAGCCGTTGGACTGGAGGTACAAAAGGGCAAACTTTATTAGCTTCAATTAAACCTTTATTTGATTTACCCACAACTCTACAGCTCGAACGGGCTGACCGCGGACATGGGCGTTGGGCGCTAGATACGTAAACTAAAGGAATAAATAATAACACCTTACGGGAATATACTAGTTGTAGTATGTAGGAACACCAGATAATATTTAGCAGCTTTGTATTTAACAATATTCGCCCAAATCACACATTTCTAATCTATCAAAGATATCATATGAGATGGAGGGGGGCATATCAGTGGCGTTTCTTTTCGGTTTATTTCTCTTATGAAGTTTCCATGGACAACAGATATTTTCTAGCCGAGATCACAAGTTATGAGAATTTTGGGAGAAAAGGAAGATAAAAAGGAGGAACATATGCCATTTAAATCGTGGGCCAAACCAGATAGTTGTACTTGTATAAAAAAGCAAAAGGCCTTCACTACCCTAATGAGAAGGGGGAAGCAGCAAAAATTATACCCGTTACACGCTATGGATACAGAGGTAGGTTTTTCCCGGGGAAAATTGGGAAACAATTAAAAAGAAAAGTTGGTCCCGAATCTTCTTAAGTGGAGCTTACCCATTCGGGGTTCTGTGGTGGGAAAAACATTAAAAGTCAGTTATTTTGCTACACTACCATCTACGTTGGGCGGAATGGAGTCAAAAAGTTCAATACTAATGGATTTTCCGGCTTACCTTGCGCAGAATAACAAGTCCCTCCAGGGTACTACTTAGACTGATGTATTCCTCATCTTCCAACTCCGCCCTCTCTCCATAAGCCAATAGCACCGGCGTGCTCTGCGTTTGCCAGCCAGTAATCGTCTTTGGCTTTCCTGCCTGACCCACGACATCAACAGCCTGCCCAACGCGGACGTTCACAGTGAGCGGCTTTAGATCTTCATCGAGCGTTACTAGGAATCGCGGATACATGGCCGTAACAAAAAAATAGAGGAGATAGTGCGCGTCGGCGAGAATGAAATCCTTTGCATCAATCATGGCGACCAGGACCGTAAGCAGGCCGGCAGCGGCCACGCGGGAAAGGACCTGGCGATCTGTGTGGAAGGGGTTGACGGATAGACTGCCTTTGCCCATATGGAGGAGACCCTGGGCAATGCGGACCATGAAGAGTGAGTTTTGATCACGGTGGTAGTAGCTTGCTAGTTGCCGGAGGAGCTGTGCGAGTCGTGCATTATTGGTTCCGGCACCAAGAAGGCCCATGGCGAAAATGGAGTTGATGGCGACGTCGTTGTCATTGTCGTGGCTGTATCTGGATAGGGTGTCGTATACCTTCATTTGGGGATTGCTTGGGCTGATCAAGCCCATGGCGAGTGGGACTGCTTTTCGGATGTTTGCGGCGCCGTAGTGCATCAGATGTCCAAATTGCCGCAGGACCATATCTTGACCAATATCTTCGCCCATTGCTATGAGAGAGAGTCCGATAACAGCATAAGATTGCACCAGCTCATCACCTTTCTTCTCTTCCTTATCTTCGATGTAGTCGTTACAGATGTGGAGCAGTTCTTGGAGCTTTAACACCGTGCCGGTACCAGCCCAGGCGCACACCGAAGCAAGAACAGAAGTAGGTTTCGCCATGGGATGGTCGATCGCCTTAAGAATATCCAGGATAACATCGACCTCTTCCTGCCGGCCAAAGTAGAGCAGCGCAAGACCAAGGGCCATAAATCGTGTCCATTTATCTTTCAACTGCCTCTGCCTCTCCTCATCCATCAAGGTAGTCGCGATAGCCTCACTAACTTGATGATTGGAAGAGCCGACAAAAATCATTCCCAGTGATACAGCTGCCATGGCAGATATTTGCATATCAAGGAAGGCATCTTCAACGATGGGCAGAAGGAGTTCGAGGAGCTCCTCTTTGCACGAGCCGGCATACGCTAGACCCAGACCCATTATTGCTGCCACCCTGACTGTCACACTCTTGGCCTCTGGTCCAACAGATTCACTGAGTAGAGCCATTGCCGGGTCTGCGTCAAGTCGAACGCCAGAGTTAAGGATACCAATACCAAGCAATCCTCCTGCCTTGATCTGCTCCTCTTCAGCCAGCGTGAATTTATCAATTTTATCCAGACCTTCCTCCACGTCCCATTGCAGCAGCATTCCCAACGACGCAGCCGTGGAAAGCATACCGTCATCTTTCGTTTTCCAAACCCAGGGCCCCTTATCACCGTCCACTAACATGAGTTTATCGTTGCAGAATCCAGCATTGGCGAAAGCATTGACGAAAGCGCTTGCCAGGTTATGTCTTGCGGAATCCACATTAGTGAGCCCAGCCCCCCGACTGTTCTCCAGATGTGTTTTGTAGATGTCTTCCGGCATCTTGGGATCTAGAATATTGAGTTCTTTTGCAAGGGCCTTGAAGTGGTTGTGTAGCTGAATATTGTGAAGGCACTCTGTTAGCTCTTGGCCGCCTTCCTCTTCCTCCTCTGGTGTCAAATCAAGCCATATCTGTTGCCGCGCTATAAGGAATGCCATTTGTCTCCTGATAGCCTGATCGTTAGTTGAATTGAAATCGTTCTTGATAAGATCGATATCGTTGAGACGAATAGCAATAACAATGGCTTGAGTGAGCTTGTTGTACATCATGTAGATGTCATGTGCCGTCCTCAGGAACTGATGGTCTTCAGGGTATGTGAGAAGGTTGACCATGCTGACCATATACAGACAGACTCTCGAGTACGTATTCTCGTCAAGGAACTTGGGTATTTCCTCGATCATCTCAAGTTCACTCAGGAGATCCACTGCGTCTGCCTCAGCGTTATGGGCTAGGAAGTATGGCACCAGTGATAAAGAAAGATCAACCAAATCTTGCACATCCTTATCATCCGTCAACCGATTTTGGTATTCCTGCCCAATCTCCAGCGCAAGGTGTCGGATGTACTCGTGACCCCACGAGCCCAGATCGTTCGATTTGGTTAGCAGGCGATATTTGAGGGTCTCCAGCTTCTCTTCGTCTCCGTAGGTCATGCCCAGAACCGATAGCATATCTGCAAGGGAGTCCTAGATGCATATACCGATTAACACAAACACAGATATATCAAAATGTTAAAAAAAAGAAGATGCCGCACCTTATCATCACCCGCGGGCCATTGCTCGTAAAGCACAGCAAGCTCATCATAATGTGGTCTAAGGAATTTAAGAGGTTTCGGAACAGCGGTCATCGAGGAGGTAGACGTTTTGATGAAGGTTTTTATAGCTTCCAAAGCAGGCTTGTAGAGAGACTTATCGGATTCCTATGTAGTTTAAAAAGTGCAAGCCCATTAGCTCTTTAGATTTCAAACCGCCTGTAAGCCCAGTAGGCGCACCATCAACCACGGCCGGCGAATAGTAACTGACGTGTAACCTCTCAACGAGCATCTCAAGTTCATTTTTAAGCTGTTGATCTTCCTCACTAAGCTCTTCTACAAAATAGCAACCACATGTTTGTTAGCTTCCATTCATAACATGGGCACTTATCCGCGGAGGGTTAAGAGGACCGAGAGCAGGTAGGAGTTCCCATTCCGTACCTTCTTTTGTTTCCTCCTCCTTTTTCCCATTCGTTAGAGATTTGGCATCTTTACCATCCTTCTTCTCCCCATCCAGGTCCCTGACATCATCCACCTTTCCTTTGCCCTTGTCGGCTGCATTGGGTCGCTCGTCATTCGGCATGGCGCAAGGTCTGAAAGGTCAAGAAACGCGCCTACGAAGCCCGGGCAGCTAATCTCTTGAAAAGGATCTATGGTGAGGCGGTAATGACAGGTGTTTAATGAAACACGTTTGAGGCTGTTGGGTTTAATATTAAAATTGTTGGTGAAAAAGTCAACTTGAGAGCTTTGAGAGGATCGTTCGATGTTGTTCAATATTCAACCGTTCAGAGCTCAAGCCGTCAGTTACCTAAGCCGAACGTCAACACGTGACCTTCAAATTCGTACCAGCAGAATCCGTGCAGATAGCTGTGTATGAAAAAGGTGATCGATAACTTTGGATAGTTAACACTTGTCCTACCCTTTTGCTCATAAAACTCTTAATATTTCTTTCCTATATACAAAAAGATCAAGTAAAATAGCCCTAGATTACTAGCATACAGCAAACCCAATTGAATATGATTCAAGGTTTTTGTCGATTGGGGAACAACCACCTATTCACAAAGTAAAACAACTGAGGAATATAGAAAAATCCACAAAAGTATGGAAAGGGCTCAACTTTATTATGCTTTTTGAAACCCCATGCTCTGAAGCAGTATAAATTCCAAGCAAATAACTCATGAAATACCACCAGCCAACGAACGAACCAAAAAAAAAGAAAAAGAAAAAGAAAAAGAAAACAAGAAAAAGAAATCAATGACATCGTACTAATACAGGCGTTCCTTCAAGACAAAAGTTACTTACAACCCTCCATCCACCCTAAGTCCCTAGTCATCCTCGCCCAAACAGAACAAATCATCCGCCCTGATATATGTATCCACTTGTTGCTCAGCGCCGTCGTCGTCGTCGTCGTCGTCGTCGTCGTCAGCAACATCGCACCCACCAATGTTCTTCCGGAATTCTTTCATATATGCCTTCGTCCTGTTAAAGATGTTAAGCGACGGGTCATCTCTCTGGGAATATGGCAAGATACCCAAGGAAGATAGCTCCGGAAGGCCACCGGGGAATAAACTAAGTAGATTCGAGATGGTCGAAGACCCTGCTAATATCCTTTCCTTGGCACCTATATTAGGTATCTGCTCTTGTGATTTCTCTGGCGTTGAGTCTGTGAGAGTCTTTTCGGGGCTATCAATCTTCTCATGGCCTAGATAGGTTTCGGTTTCTGGTCCAGTTTCGGATTGGGATGTCTTTTGAACTTCGCGGTTATGGTACTCCTCCGGTTGGTGATAGAGTTCACTGTGAGTTGTTGCTAGGACGAAGTCGGTTGATGCAGGGAAAGAAGGGTATAGAAGGTAATAACCGCGAGCCCGGATTAGTTCGAGCATATATTCCATCCACGATGGCAACTTTTTCGAAATGAGATTGGCCGAAAAATTTGATTTGAGAGACTGAGATTGAAGGCGGTTGGTAAGGAAGGAATGAAATTCAACCCATTTGTCACCAAAGTACAAGGCTGCATTGCTATTTGGGGCCTGCCAGAGGAATACAGGAATGTCCTTTTCGACATCTTGAAGAGAGTCGGTGGGCTTTGATGGAGTTGGTGGAGTGAAAGGTTCGTAATCGGCCGTCGGTGCTGCAGATGGGAGTTCGAGAGAGATCCCTAGAAGACGATGCGAAGCTGGCCTGGTAAGGATGGAATATTTAAATTTTAGAATGGCATATTTGAGGAAATGGTAATAGGATGGTGCTAGATCTGTTTGCGGGGAGAGGACGAGGACATGAGAGTGTACGGGGTTTTTGGGGTAGAATGAATCTATTGTATGAATGGCTGCTTCTTCGGGGGTCATTACTTGCAGCTGCATTCTTCGTCGGAGAGTAAAGTGGCCATGTTCACTCTTAGGTGGCCATTTGAATGATGACAGGTAATAGAGTAGATGAGGATCAGCATTAGGTGGCAACCCGATCGTTAATCCAGGGGCTTCACCAAAATAGTCTGCCTCGTGCAGCGACTCGAGCAATCGAATTAATGAGCCTGAGGACGCTGGAAGAGCATGCACAAGAATTTCCATATTAACCTTATTCCAAGCTAATAAAAATAGTAAAATATCAGCATTCAGATTCTAAGTTATATTTCAGGGGATTTAGGGTTGTATAAGCAGACATTGCACGTAACATACCTACAAGCGAACTGGAGTCAAGCTTTGACATCCACATGAAGTTGGCCGCCCGAGCTGGAAGGCTGATGTGATGCATGCCTATCTGGCCTGCTTGGGCTTTTGCCGCTGTCCAAAAGAAAGGCTCCTCGCGGCTCTCGCCGTGTGTAATTGTAGCCCGTGGGCGCAGGCTGTTGTGAAAATGCCACAATCCAGCTTTGACACTTGCTTCCATCCGCGCATCAGTAGACCGTGAGGCATAATCCGGACGTGCATCTTTAGACAAAACCCGACACGGCCCATTAGCAAAGCCCTAGCACCTATTGAGCAAATGGCAATTCTGCTTAATCAACTCACCATGCCAGAAAACGGGACACCCTTCTTTATCCACTCCATTAACCATCTGTATTCCCTCTATCGATACATGGTTCCTCCCCATCACCGCAAAATGGACAATATTGTAGTTCTGCCTAGCCATTTCGCAAGCCAAGGGCACAAGGTCGGAAAGGGCTTTCAAATCTGCTGCGGCAAAGAGCACATCTTTACTAGGTCGACGAAACTTGGGGTAGCCGTACCCTGAATATAGGGTTCTGAAAAGGGAATAAAACTTTATCGGACCGTTGTAATCGTATGAACTATCAATATCCTCATTCAAGCTCGTATTGGGAGACTGACCTTCAGACAGATGGCGAAGCGTGTCGGATGGAATGGTGTTGTCATCTGATACCGGCTGTTGTCCGGCGGCAAACTGTGGGTTTGAATAGAGAGGGTTAAATCGCTTAGAGGCAGACGTTAAATCGGTAGATCTGTTTTTGAAGAATAGGTATAGGATGCAAATTCCAACGAAGGCGAGGAGCATACGTCTTTTTCGGGGGGGTTTCCATGATGACGGTAGCAACGACTTCAATGGGTCGAACTTTGCAGACCTTCGAGAGGGTTCGTCGTCGTACTTCTTACCCAGTTCCTCATCGCGGAGAAAGACTCCTCTTGGCAGAGTCATGATATGATATGCAAGCGATTACAGTCAATGCGCTCCACGGGAGCTTCCGTGTGAAGGTGGGGCATTCGAGGGATATTCAAGGGATACGCTGTCTCCCAAGTTGAAGGGGATCTAAGGGCGTATGGTTGCAACCAGAGTAGAATAAATGGCTTTCGCAGGCGGCGTTGTTAGTGATGAAGGAGACACTTATAGCAAGGGACGAAGATGGCGACGGATGGATGATTAGGGGTCCGGGTTCATTTATAATGGAAATAAACCTGGTTAATATCCGGGGCTATTTCCTAGAGGCTTATATTCACCACGGTGACCGTGCAAAATGGGCTGGGAAAAGATTCAATGTTGGTTTGTTGTGAAGTTGTTGGCTGTTCTACCAGCAGTTGAAGGAGGTTAGGAGGTTGGAGGTTGATATCGCCAAGAGATGAGCAGTTTGATTCCACCTCCAAGCGCACGTCCATTGATTGCTGGGCATTAATATCGCGGTAGACAGTTCTCCGTAGCATTGAGACTTATGAATATTCTATTTCACTGTAAGAGAAGAATATATGTTCTAATAGTAATCTAGCTGAGATTCTCCTGCATTCAAATCTCCCCTGAGCTCTATGATAACCTCGTTGCTCTCTCTGTAAAGAGGGCGAGTTCTGGAGAGTGTCACTGCATATTTACCCATAAACCCATTCAGGGTAGCTTGAGGGTAGTATATATTAAGGGACATCAATATTTATTTGGTAAAAAAAACCCCCCACCATCCATCTCAGCTACTACCTACCTGAGTTGAGGATCCATTCCACCCTTATCCACTGTACTCCGCAAAAGGCTGAAGTCAAATCGACATTTCGGAACGTTTCGAGAGTTGCTGAACCGCTTCGTAATTCATTCACAAAAGGAGAAAATCTTTTGTCACTTTCAACACACTTCACAGACTGAGTGGTAACTGCGTGCGCGATAAAGCAACTTGAACGCCTGAAACACAATTAACTGACCTGATGAATCATGCTGACGTAACTAATTAACTAAGTTAATAACTAACTAGTTGGTTTGGTTAACTCTATATAAACTGGATTTAGTGCACTGCTCAGTTGAATGTGTCATTCAGTCGGATATTACATTTATTAAAAACCCATAAACAAACTATGCTTGACAAAGGGCATGGATATTATCATCATCTCAGAAGTCCCGAGTCTAGACTTTTGAGCTGATGATGTCAGGAACCGCGGTCCGGGTCGTACCCGGCCGATTGTTGCTCTTCAGGATGAATTATGGATGAGGGCTGAAAATAACTTCCAATCCATACCAAGGACTCGCCTCTCGCATTCGGTGGAGAATTGAAACTGAAATCCGTTCAAAAATCCATATTTTCATAGACCATTCACAAATAACGAGTGCTGTTGGCTCTCGGCCAACCTGGGACGAACCCGAGCAGTGTTTATGTACGTATGGTATGTATTGCATATCATATCGAGGGCCCAGAACACAAGTCGTGAACCGTCTTTTAAGCTCGAAACGTTCCGCCTGATGAGTCGAGTTTCTCAGGGAGCACAGCATATCATCAAAGGCCTGACGCGGTGATGGTTGGCTGTTTTGCCTTTGGAGAGGAAAACAAACATAATGTCAATATAGGGAGGGAGGCCGGAGCAGAGTCGGTGCCATCTGCATACGCGTCCAGCGCAAGGCGCATGCCACGTCTAAAACCGTTGCATGCTCCGACTGACACTCACACAAGAACAAGACCGACGCCTGGTGGTTTGACCAAACATGCTGCCCATTCCGTCGTGTGATGGTTGAAGTACTAGCCACCTTGAAACTACGTAGTAATTAAAAAAAGTTCACCAAGTGCGGGCCCCACATTGCCTGGAATGCCGTGTGCTCAGGGCCCATAATTAACTGCCGCACTACCGGTAGCCGACCTTCCCCTCATCCCTCCATCCATATCTCACTATTATGTCTATTATTGAACTGTTAGATGCTATCCCTCGCCTATTGCATTCTTGACTTTTCCCTTGACCCTGTAGTCCAGACCCTGAAAGGCTAAAACCAACAGCAAACCCGTGACTAAGCATCGGCGGCAGCGAGAAAGATTGGCTTACCTAAACATTGCGCAAGATTGGACCCCGACGATATCAGGTGTCTAATAACATAACTACAGATAGATACAGCCTCTGTCGTTGGTATCATATTTCCGCTTGCTTGGAGCCGTTTGTCTGCGGACAGTGCACAGGAATGGTTTGCCTTCTGTTGCCTTTCTCTGCTGCTGGACCAACCCCGCGAATTCCGGCAGTCCAAGGCGTAGGCGTGCAGTAGGGGCTAGAACCAGCCCATGCCGCTGCTCGAAGGTCTTAAAAAGCTGCTTTCCTCCCCCTGACTATCTTTTTGTTTTGGTTCCCGCTATCCTGGCACCATGGCCGACGAAGTAATGGATGTAGACTCTTTGGAGCCGCGAGGCACAAAGCGATCGGCCACAGATGCTGGTCTGCAGCCCCAACTGTCAAGGAAAATCCAGGTCAGTGCAGAATATCATTGCCACGTGACATGCATCTTCGCTCCCTATATGTACTGGATTGTGGATTGCATCTCATATGTACCTGCTGACAGCTTGCCCTTAACAGGCTCTTGACCCAGATGTGGTGAATAAGATCGCTGCTGGGGAGATCATCGTTGCCCCCATGCATGCTCTGAAAGAATTGATCGAGAATTCCATCGATGCCGGCGCCACTTCCATCGAAATCTTGGTGAAGGATGGGGGTTTGAAACTTCTACAGATCACCGATAATGGACACGGAATCGAAGTATGTTTCTTTTTTTTTCTTTTTCTTTTTTTTCTTTTTTTTTTCTTTTTCTTTTTTTTTCTTTTTTTTTTTTTTTTTTGGTATCTACTTTGTACTCAAAAACTGTGAACTGCTTCCTTGACTTCTGGAGTCTAACCGCGTGCCTTGCAAGTGTGATGACCTTGGAATACTGTGTGAGAGATTCACCACCTCCAAGCTCAAAGCGTTTGAAGACCTGTCTTCTATTGGTACCTACGGCTTCCGTGGAGAGGCTTTGGCGAGTATCAGTCACATAGCACATCTCACCGTTACTACGAAGACAGCGGGGTCAAGCTGCGCCTGGAAAGCTCACTACAACGACGGGAAATTAGTTCCCGCTAAACCTGGCCAAAGCGCAGAACCAAAGCCAACTGCTGGTCGGGGCGGAACTCAGATCACGGTATGGCTTCTCAAAGACAAAATTATACCCATTATTTAAGCGCCTTCAGCTCACGGAACAAATATAGGTTGAGGACCTTTTTTACAACATCCCTACACGACGTCGGGCTTTCCGATCCTCAAGCGAGGAATACGCAAAAATCCTTGACGTTGTCGGCCGTTATGCTGTACATTGCTCTGGCGTCGCAGTTTCATGCAAGAAACACGGCGATGCTGGAGTCAGTATTTCAACGTCAACAAACTCCACAACAGTAGATAGAATTCGCCAAATTCACGGCAGCGCTGTGGCCAGTGAGCTTGTCAATTTTAACGTTGAAGACCCAGGACTTGGATTCCGTGCTTCAGGCTGGGTCAGTAATGCAAACTACCATGTGAAGCGGACCACTATCCTCTTGTTCATTAATCACCGCTCTGTGGAATCTTCTACAGTACGGCGGGCAATAGAGCAGACGTATTCCAACTTTCTCCCAAAGGGTGGCCATCCATTTACCTATCTCGATCTGGAAATTGAGCCGCAGCGAGTCGACGTGAATGTCCACCCGACCAAAAGGGAAGTTAATTTCCTAAACGAGGACGAGATCATTAGTTCCATATGTACTGCCATCCAACAGCAACTGGCAACGGTAGATTCTAGTCGGACTTTTATGGTTCAGACTTTACTACCTGTTGGACGAAATCAGAGTACTTTGAGTTCCAACGCAGAGGGAAATTCAATGAACGATAAACCACCAACATCTCGAACCCTTTCCGGCACAAAACGTCCATATGAGAACAATCTCGTAAGGACAGACGCCACCATGCGCAAGATAACCTCGATGCTACCCCCCGCGTCATCACAATCAACCCCCATCCTCAACGGTCAGTCCCAACCACAACCCGCTGTAGCAGACGACGGCGGTCTTCGCTACGAAAACACAGACCGGGAGCCCACCCAGGTCAAGCTCACATCCGTTAAAAGCCTCCGCGCCGCCGTCCGCTCATCAATGCACAATAACCTCACCGAACTCTTCGCCTCCCTCACCTACGTCGGGCTCGTGGATGAACGACGACGGGTAGCAGCCATTCAGTCCGGCGTCAAGCTTTTCCTGGTCGACTACGGCATGGTTATCAGCGAATTCTTCTACCAGATCGGCCTGACAGATTTCGGGAACTTTGGCAGGATTAACCTAGAATCCTCCCCCCAGCTCGTGGACCTGTTATACCTCGCCGTCGCCCTGGAGCGTGATGAGCACCGAGCCAGGCAAGAACAGGAGGGGATACCTGCATCTGAAATTGACGCCATCGACTTTGACAGGATAGTCACGACGGTAGCTACGCAGCTCATCGAACGCCGCGAGATGCTCGATGAGTACTTCTCCCTCTCCATATCCGAAGAGGGAAATCTCCTCTCCATCCCTCTACTGCTAAAGGGCTACATGCCCTCGTTAGCAAAACTTCCACGTTTCCTCCTCCGCCTGGGCCCATACGTTGACTGGACTGACGAAGAAGCCTGTTTCAGCACATTTCTCCGCGAACTCGCTGCCTTCTACACCCCTGAACAACTACCCACCCCACCCCTTGTCGACCCCAGTAAGAACACACCACGCAAAGACGAGACAACAACAGCAGCAACAGCAAATCCCAAACTCACACCCACACCAGCCAGCGGAGACCCTAATGGCCCTATAATCTCTCCCACATCCACATCCACATCCACAGCCAACGAACCACAGCCCTCCACCAGCACCGGCGGCAGTACCACCAATACAAGCACAAATCAAGCAACCACCACTGACCCTTCTTCGTATCCCGACCCGTACCCAACTGAGGACCCGCTACCGCCAAAAGAAGATGAATGTATCATACGGCGCCGCGCACAGATATCCTGGATGCTAGAGCACGTGCTATTCCCATCCCTGCGTGCCCGGCTGGTTGCGACGAATGAGCTTGTCAGGGGCGTCGTGGAAGTTGCGAATCTGAAGTCGCTGTATAGGGTATTTGAGCGGTGTTAGAGGAGAAGCGAAGATATTTTACTATGGCGTGGTGCCGATTTTCATATATTGTTTAGAAATATATATGAGAAGAGGGGGAAGGGGTTGGGAATAGGGGACGGCGAAGTTTTAGATTCTTGCTGTTACGGTTATTTTTACGTTTGATAATGGCTAGGCAAGTGGGTGGCGCGTGGGAGTTTTGAGGTTTGAGACCTACAGATTCTTTGACAGATCATTTCATGAAATATATGAAAAGAGCAATACAGTCACAGGAAGGGGGGAAACTTTTAAGAGGGATCTCTCTGATCTCTACTTTACTATATTTTCCACTTTCATATATATTCGTTTTTCACTTATGACCACCCCATGTAATCTCATATACTCTCACTCTTCCTCACAACATTTTTTAACATTAATACCGTTCTAAATGTGTCACATTCCCGCCGTCCTTTTCCTTGAGACACTTTAATCGAGTATATTGCATATCATCCACATCTACGCATTCATTCTCAATCATAGCCTTGAACAACATACCTATTCACATGCACTACAATCACACATAAACAATTTCAAATCAATTTCATCTGTATAATCCCATGGATTTGAAAGGAAATTTAGATGTATATTGTCGTAATCTTGAAATTTATTATCTTAATGTGCTTCTGTATCTACATTGACCTTCTCTAATTAGCTGATTTGTAATAGTCTCACCAATTTCTCATCAACAGATAATGCCTCTAAAGCTTCTTGATTAATTTCAATAATGACATAATCAGGGCGATTAAGATGAAGAAAAGCTAGTCACCACTTAATAACATTATTTCACTTAGTGAAACCATAGCAAAATTGATAAAATAAACAGAAGTTATTAAATGTATTAAAGCTCATAAAACAATGATATCAAGATTTTTAATTAATAATGAAAAATTATTGTAAACACAGTTTGTATTTTAAAGAAAGTTAAAATTACTTTTATACTTATATTGCTATTTATAAATCTGATTTATTCTCACAAATATATAAATCTAAGTATAAGTATTTTCACAATCTGTATTTAAAAAAAGGTTCAAAACTCAATCAAAGTTCAGATTGTTATTCACATGAAAGAAATAAAAGTTTATCTGCTTGATGATATTTATCAATTATAATGCAATGAGTGTAGATATTACTTTGAACTTTATATTAAAATTATTTTGAGAAGTTTATAAAAGATTTAAATATATTAATTAATATTAATACTAAAATCTTCAATATTAAAAAGCTATTAAATTATATAAAAAAAAAATTCAAATTTATAAATTTTTTAATAGTAAATATAATTAAGAATTTTAAATATAAAATATAAATAATATTTATATCAGCTAATAAGTTACTCATTAAACTATCTATGTAAAATAAATAATATAATGAGATGACTATTAAATTATAAAATTAAGTTAATAACTATAATTGCAATAAAAATTTTAAAAAAAATAAGTTTATATTTGAAAGTAATAAAGATAGATTTATTATAAATTAAAAAAAATAGATATTTTATCAACTATTTATAGATATTTTTAAGCTTTATATAAAAATAATAATAAAATTTTAAACTACTTAATTGTTCTATTAAATTATATTCTACTTTTGATATATTATTACAAGTGAAAAAAATTTAATATATATATTAAATAATAAAAGTAAATATTTTTATAAAAAAAAACTTGTTGATAATAAAGAAATTTTGATTAATTGTAAAAAAAAAACTATAGAATATAAAATAATAGTAAAAGACTTTAATTTTATATTTGATAAATTATTACTCTATAAGGAATAAAGTTCAAAAAACTCTCTATTACTTACTATTACTTAAAAATTCAAATAGTCTTAAAGTCAAAAAAAATGAGATTTGAGATATTTGTAACTATTTTATAAAAATCTTAAAGCTAATATAAACAGATTTAAAAAAGTTATAAAAATATTATTGAAGCACTTTAAAGTTTTAAATTTAGTAATAAAATACAGCAAAAGTCATATATTATAATAATAATTAAAAAGTATTCAAGTATAGATTTCTCTCATAAGTAGAAATTATAGTAGATAAAGTAGATTTTATATTTTTTATAAATTGTCAATAGCAGATATATTAAATTAGATATAACTGCAAAGTATTAAAAGCCGTCTAATTTTATAAATGATGCAAGAATTTACTAGAGAATATAGTTTTTAAACTTTAAAAAAGATTAAAATTAAAATGATAAAAGAGTGAAACTATGACGGCGTTGTCTGCTATGACGGCGCTATGACGGCGTATGGCTACTGAGCTACGGAAACTGGCTTGGTCTGAAAAGGGTAATAGCAACGGCATAGCAACCACCCCGCAAACAACTACCCCACAAAGATGCCTAGCAATGGCAAAGCAACGGCATAGCAACCGCTAGCGGAAAGGGATATAAGGAGATCCTTCCCCAGGCCCCTGTTTCTTAAATCACCTTAGTATTCCGCTGAAATAGCTTACCTCGTTGGCAATTCAAAACCCGTTTATCTGCGTCTAGATTGAATCCATAACAAAAACTTTTTTGTTATAATATAAATATTTTAATATAATAGCAGTGTTATCAATATTACAGAGATTGAAGAAACAAAGAACTATGTAAATTAAAAACTATATTATACAAAATAAAATTGAAGTCAGTTATTTAAATTATTTATATATTAAAACTAAAGAAATAAAGATATGTATTTGCAAGTCATCTGCAGATCAAAGTATTTTAATTTTATAAATATAATTCTTTTTATCAAATCAAAATTTAAAAGTATATTTAAAGTAGTTTAATAAATATAATATTTTATTTTATTAAAAAGAAAATTCATTGATACATAATACTAATATTTTGTTAAAGTTATTAATTTCATTTAGTTATATTTTATCTCATTATAACACAATCTATGCTTTAAAAATATAAATTGATTTTAAAAGAGAAAAGAAAAAATCAAGTCAATAAACTTCAAAAGTGAAACTCTAATATTTTTTTTTAGAGTTCTACTCGGGTAAAATTAACCATTCCATATATGAGAAAAAAAAGGATAAGAAAATAAGTATTTAAAGAAAAAATAAATAATAAATTGAAATAAACGTCATATTTAGATCGAAATAAACGTCATATTGAGATCAAAACGTCAATCAATTTGAAAATAAATAAAAGAATATAAAACCGAGTAGAATATAGCAGAAGAGAAAAAAAATAATATAATCAACTGAACAAATATGAGAGACAAGGGTAAAGTTAAAAAGCTATTAGTGGATATAAAATAATTTAAAGGAACATAGTTCAACAAAAACACCATACAAATGGGGAGAAATTGTTAAATAATACAAAGAAGATCCACTAATTGGCCGTGAGCGGTAAGGTGTTGTTGTGGGGTTCATATCGTCCAGTCGTATAGCAGCAAATTGGACTGCGTGAAGAAGAACAGGGTTAAGTGCAAGAGAAAGTGCAAAATGTAGAGGGGAGGTCGGGCATGGAAAGAGAAGCAGATGATAGTGCAGTGTATAAATATATAGAACACGACAAGCAGGAAGTTGCAATATATATAGGAGGGTACGTGATGTATACACATATATATATATATAAATGGTAAATGGAAAATTGGTGAACACCAATATCAATATCAAGTATCAAATCGTCTGACGACATGACAGATGCAGCAACAGGATTGAGAAATGATCCCATCTCCGTTAAACGATACGTAAACCCGTGCCAAAGGGCTTCGTAAAAATAACCACGAGCTCGTAATTCTCTTGTGAACTTACTAAAAGAGGGTAAATCATCACTGCTGTTTCGAGTACGGTTTGTTCATTAAGGCTATCTCCCGCGCGATGGTGTGCCATTCCAGGTCATGCCGGATGGGCTCGTCGCGTCTTTGTTGTAGGATTTCATCCCATTTTAGGAGCTCGTAGCTGTATGGTGGCATAAGTATGGTAAGAATAGACAAAACGTGTACAAGTGAATTAATGGATTTGAGAAGAGATATGATGAGGTGCAATGGTGGAGGGAAAGGGGAGTAGGGAGTGGGCTGTACTGACACAAATCGCAGATGTGGTTGGATAATTACGTTGAGACGCCTGGCGCGCACGAAGCAGCTGTTGAAAAGTAAAGTGTGTTAGAAAATATCTGTGTTTGTACGGCGAACTAAGAGGGAAACTGAGAAGCGGAAAGGAGTTAACATACTATGCCCTTGGAAACGACAACCCCTTCGACGCCATAACCTCCGCAATGCAAATGGTAGCCGATCTCGAAACGCCAACGCGACAATGCACCAACGTCGCAGATCCATCCTTTTTCCCCTGCTCTATTGCATACGATACCACATTTAACACCAAACACGCCCAAAAGACATGTATGAGAGAGAAAAACTCACCAATAAAACCCAAACACCTCTCAAACTCCCCCGTTAACTCATCAATCCCATTATCCTGCACGTCTTTAACCATCATCAACCCGTTCCCTTCTTTAAGCCCATCGCTCCACTTCTCAATCTCTGACTGCGGCCAGGTAACCGGTTCCCCAATGCTAAGTATCCTTTTGATGCCAAGTGCCCGTAGTAGTTCTGGGTTATTGGCGTGTGCCAAATTGCCCAAATACATGTATGGCAGGATACGGCTGGGGAGTGACCCGTCCATCCGTGACAGCCAGCCCGGTTCAATCGTTTTTGGAATAATACTGCTGGTGCGGCTGCTACGGCGGTTACCAGAACTAACTGAAGTAGCGGCGGCCGCCGCCACAGCAGGGCTCTCGAGTAATAACCGTTGTTGGATGCTCGTCAAGAAAGCGACGTCAGACGGATACGCGAAGAAATTCCTCTTCTTCTCGCAGTGCAATCTCAACCACGCCTCGTGCACAGGCACACCCTCAGCAAACATGAAATAAGCTATGCACAGCAGCGAAATTTCGGTATACCCGTCTCCGCAATGTATTAGCACCTTACGTGCCTTAGGCGTGAGCGATACCATGGGGATATCCCCGTCTGCATCGACAGATTGCTCTTGTTCTTCAATTGACCGCTCCGGGTTTGCCATGCGATATATCCATCTGCATGTGTCGATGAGGTCGTAAACTTCAACCTGGTTCCAGGACGCGAGGACACTGCCTGATGATGGGAATTCTAGTCGCTGTGGGCTCCCGCCGTTTTCCAGCTGTGCTGATATTTGTGATAGGTAACGGAGATTGGGGATGCTGGCGACGTCGTGGGTTTCGATGAGAATGTCGAATTCTAGCTCCTCGAGGGGGTGGTCATTGGTATCTGGAGTAGGACCTTGCCAGACATTTGTGGCAATTTCTGAGGCTGCGGCCATACTGCACATTTCTAACCGTTCCCAGTGGACTAGATCGACCTGTTAGATGAAAGTAGTGACAATGATGTCCATAGTGCTTACAGAAGTCCATTACTCGACCAGTAAGTTGCCCTTCGGAATCTACAGCAATCAAGCGAGGGTATCTTTCCTCTACTTCGCGAAACGAGCCTGTGGTTCTTCTTATTAATCTTACAACTCCTCAAACCAGAAAGTAAAATACAAAGAGAGATGATATAAGAAACAACTCACTCTTCAGCAGAAAGGTATTAAACATAGTATTCTCTTGGCCAGGATCAAATTTCTTCCTCCACTCCCTCTGAGCTTTAGCAATATTACCCGCAACTTCAACTACCTCCCTTCCATCCGCCTCAGCATCGCCATAAACGATGATATCTGACAGCGGCGCTAATTTCGCCGTTTGAATATGGAAATTCCGCACAGAGAAGCCTTCAGGCGGGTCCGCATCAAGAAACGTCGTTCCAGACGGCGCCAGAATCTCCTGTGGTGAAATAGCTCCTTTAATCCTAGACTTGGACGGATCTCCACCAACCTTGACGATAGCTATGGAACGCAAGCATCGCGGTATCCGTCGCTGAGATCTCCGCCGTGAAACAAAAAAGCTAAGTTGGACGTGATTATCCGGATGTAGGCCGTGCAGCCATGGGAAGACTTGTTTCGGGTCTGGCAGTGGTCTGGCAGCGAGCTCATCCAATGCCAGGGCTAGTGCATCCGCATCTATCGAGTAGACTGGCGGATCATCGAGGAGTTTTGGGAAACTGACCGGTGGGTACAGGATACAGTTGCTTTGGAGAGGGCCGACGTGTCTGAGTGTGGGGGAAGTAGGGGGTGTTGCGAGGATCTTTGAAGCTGATGGGGACGGGCCGGGAGGGCATACAGGGATATGTTTGTTTGGGATTGGAGATTGGGTGTGAGTGTGAGTGTGCGGGGTGTGGGGGGTATTGGCGCTGAGACTAAGTGCTGAAGCGATGGAAGGTGAAGAGGAGGAATGTCGCACGGGTTGTTGTACCACCACGGTAGCCATGGTTGGGATCGGATGGGAATGGTGGTTTCCAAGGGTGTCTATCTCGTCGATTGGCGGAGGAGTGGTGATCGGGCGGTCTGAAATTTGTCCGTGTCGACAGATGGAGTGTCGCAATCAATTAAGAGAAGATGGTTACATCGTCTGCGTGATTGCTCCTTTGATATGTAATATGGTCTTCGTCTTCGTAGGGGCCAGGTGGACTGAATAAGTAAAGGGTGTGGAAATATGATTGTCCCTTATCCAACGAGAGGAGAAAGAGCTAGCTAATGGGGCCAGGATACTGAGTCCGAAGGGGGTTCAAAACTTGATCCACCTAGCCCCGGTGATATATATATAGATTGACATCTACTTAGGTTGTCGAAATTGCACTGTTGTATCTGAAATCAAAACTCAATTCAACAAGCATGGAGGAGTCTTGGTGACGACCGGGGGGAAACACAGGAAGTCAGCAAACAGTGATGCACAATGGATACAAGACTGCAAGCGATCGCGTGGTCCGGGACGAGCGGGATATAAATAGACCACTTGGATGGATTTGACGGTGGGGAAGATGAGGCGAGGGGTGTTGAGTCGAGGGAGGTAGCAATTAATGCGTAGGTATTGGATAATGTGTGATCTGTACAGTCTAGCAGTTGTGACGACAGAAGGAGGCACAATGTGCGATAAGAGAACTGAATGGAAGGGTGTTGCGGAAAACAAGATGACGATGAGGATGGTGAGGGAGCCCGAGGATAAGGCGACAGACGACAGACGACAGACGACAGGCGACAGGCGACAGACGAGAGACGAGAGACGAGACGCGTGGGCGGAGGAAAGAGCTCTGGAGAGCAGCAGAGAGACAGGAGAAGAAGGAATGGGACCGGGGGGGAGAGGAGGGGGAGGGAAGGAGAGAGACTTTGTGTGGGGGAGGGGGGGGGGGGGGGGCCCCCTGATGGAAGAAAAAGAGGGGAAAGTTTTTTATATTAAAACCTGGAAAGAGTGAGGGGGGGGGGGCCCA